AGAATGTTTTTGAGAAAATAATTAAGATATATTATTGATTTTATATTGTTCATTAGTTTTATTCAACAAATTGATCTATTGAAATAAATTTGTTTTCTAAAATTCTAACAGAATTATTAAACGTCAAACCATTTGGAAAATTGTAAAAACATACTTACGAATTAAAACAAAAAGAAAGTCAAACACTATTGTTACGAATCAGACTTCCCATAGTAAAAATTGATTGAAAAACAAAATTATTTATTTATTCTATTAATATGAAATAAATATATTGTCATAAGACATTTTATTCAAAGGTCAAATAAGTATAATGAATTTAATGGATTTTTATTAGTTAAAAAATTTCATCTATGTAATTCAAATAATTTTATCAAAAGACTAATGATAAGGAATTAATCATAATTAAATTGTTTAGATTAAGTCACATCCTATGAATCAATTCAATGTTACATTTGTTTCTATGCATACTTACAATATCATTGAGATTCTTTATGCTTATTGAAGGAAATAAATAAAAAACAACATAGACTGTATTCTCGATATTCTCTTCTAACATTTATTTAATGAACTACATTTATATCACAATTCAAGTATAACTAAATTGAATATAAATAACAATTTAATAGCAAGAAAGAGATTCTTATTTTGATTGAATTTCACTTATTAATCAATTAGAAAACGACTGATGCGTATCAATGTTGACACTTTTTCATTAAATTGTAAAGCAATATAAAGGAACTGGCTATGTACACCCAGATACACATAGTCGACTGGCTATGTGCATCCAGGTGGATATAATCAATTAATTAGTAAATATTAATTTATATTATAGGTTTATATGCACTTTATTAAATAATATCAATAAAATTTCTTCAGTTATTAATAATTTTAGTCGATTTATTTTTTATTAAATTCAAATCGAGTATTACAATCAAAGATATATGAAAGAAAAAATCAGTTCAAATAAAGATCAACTAATTTAGAAACATACTTAGCACCTCCTTTGTTAAGTTTTGAAAGAGATTGTTCTATTTTATTATTTGTAATACATCTAACATAACGATAACAGAAATATATCTTTTTATAAAACAATAATGATGAAATCTTCTTTGGTATCCATTCGTGATTTTAGTTTCTATTTTGATAGATCTTCTTTCTTGTCTTCGGAGAATTTTACTTTATAGCCTTGTTTTAAGTCTTCTTTCCTTAGTGAGGATTAATCAGATGGTCTTAATAAAAGGATACCATCCTATATTAAAATTTAATTGACTTTTTCATGCTTTTCAAGTTTCCATTTTGTAAGCCAATTAGCGAGGAAAAAAAACATAATTTTTCGTTCTATAATTTATCAACAAAGAAACAAGGTATAATTAATTAAAGCGCCGGTATAGCACAATTTTCGTCCATTTTATTGAAAATAATAAAATACAACAATCTCCTTCAAAACCAAAGAGAAAAAGTGCTAAAAATATTTCTAAATTAGTTGAGCTTTATTTCAATTAACTTTTTCTTTCTGTTAGATATTGGCAGCTACATTTATTCTTCGCTCCACTACCTTTGTTGTTCTCTTTCTTTCCTACACTTATATGTTATATGTTGTTCTTGTCCTTGAATGATTTCTTTCGTTCTCTTCCTTGGACTTTTCCTTTTCTGTCTTTCACATATATTAGATTTTATTCTTTTTTTTCGTTATTCATTATCTATGAAATTTTCCAACTCATAGATCTTTCCCTTCGTTGTGCCTATCTATATAGTTGTCATTGTATTTAGAAAAAGCAGCAGTGGAATAAAGAAGAAAAGAATAAAGAGATAAGTGTTAGAGTTAGACCTAACACTTTTATATTTCTTTGATTGTAATACTCGACTTAAATTTAATAAAAAATAATAAATAGAATAAAATAATTAATAAGTGAAGAAACTTTATTTATATTATTTATTAAGTGCATATAAGACTATAATTTAAATTAATATTTACTAGTTAATTGATTATATCCACCTTGATACACATAGCCAGTAGACTATGTGTACCTGAGCGTACATAGCCACTTCTCGAAATAAACGTAAACAAAGTAAGATACAATGAAAATATAAGATTATTGGATAAAAGTTTCGTTGAGATGACTGAAAAAGAATAAAGAAACAAACAGACTGATTTATTTTGAATCATTGTAAATTGTTGATATCATTAAGTTCTATTTTTTTGCTTTTTGTATTAAGACAAACAATTGACAAAGTTATGGTACTCGTAGATAATATAACTAAGAAGGAAAAACTCATAAAATGTAAGCTTTATTTTTATATTAACCTGAAAACTAAAGAAATATTATTTAGGATTTTAGCTATTAATCATACTCATGTACATTTCATATATGTCAAACTTGAAATTTGAATTCAATTGAAATTTCAAGTTTCAAGTTTCAACTGAAACTTCAACTTTCAAATTTAAATTTTACCGTTTGTCCATACATGCCAAACTTGAAAGTTAAATTCAGCTATTCAATTATTAAATGGTTGAAGTCCAAATATTGAACAAATAAACAATTCAATCATTGATTAAGGCAAAAAGGGTTCTGCCGAGTCCTGATCTAGGTACCCGGAAAGGTTGCAAGCGCGAAAATACACACACGGTTGAAAATTGAAACTTGAAATTTCAATTGAATTCAAGTTTCAAGTTTGACACTACTGCAATCCGGTTTACTTCCGTCAACATTTATAAAATGTAGTCATTTTCTTTAGAAGCCCTTTCGTTGAACAAAAATAGTTGAACTTAAAATTTTGAAAAACCAACTTCAGACTCAGATTTCCCGACACCGATTTACTTTCGTCGAACCTTACAAAACGCTGCTAGATATATAGACACTTGAGTGTACACGTGACTGCAAACATACAAACCAACGAACAACGCATTTTGTTTTCTATGACCCTTACTTCAGTGAAGGGAACAAGTTATTCGCGTCCACTAGTTTCTCGAGACGTGGGCCAAATAACATGTAGTGAAGTTTTATCAAAATGCCCAAAAACCTTAAAATAAAAAGCTCTTTTCTGATTGGTCCAGCTTCTAGCCAATGGAAGCTCGAATCGAAGAATTGACTTCAAATTCGGATTTTTCGCCCTCCATAAGCTATAGCGAAGTTCCATTCTCCCTCGGACAAAAAAACGGCCTTTTTCCATTTCATTTTTGCACCACTTAATACGTTGTTTAAAAAAAAAATATACCAGGAGATGCAGCGTGAAAAGAACTACAATTTACAAAGTAAATCTTATTTTAATTCTGTACTTTTTGTTTTAAAAAAAAAACAAAATTGTGTGCGACCAATTTTCGACGCTGCGAAAAAATCATTTTTTCCGATCTCATCTTTTTATCACCTAATCTGCTTTTGTAAAAAAAAATAAAATGTACCACAAGATGCAGCGTGAAAAGCTCAATAATCTACAAAGTAAAGCTTATTTCAATTATGTACTTTTGTTTTCAAAAAAAGCAAAATTCTGTATGACCAATTTTCGACGCTGCGCAAACATAATTTTTTTCTATGCGAACAAGAAATTCCTTTTTCCTTATGTCATCTTTTTATCAATTAATATNCCCCCCAGTTTTTTCGTCTTAACAATTTAATATTAAAAGATATGTCTTGACGAGATCTATGTCTGATAAAAACAAATAACTCTAGAATCTCTTGCAGCACTCAAGAAAAGTCGAAAATACCGCTCCGTTGGAAGAACTCAACTCTCGAGATTTAGGCGGTTGTTAATCTATAGCATTTTCTTTACCTTACATGTCATTCACTTCAATTGAACGAATTTGCAACCTATACACTTCTCTATCAAATGAGATATTCATCAATCAAAACTATTAAGTCATTCATGAGATAATGTCAAAATACTAAGTACACCCTCAAAATAGACCTCTCAAACTCGTTTTCGGCTCGCATTTTTCACAGACAAAATCAAATGAGCTTATATTTGGATTTGTCTATGGTTTGACTGGACCTTTCATTTGAAAAAACAAAATCGAAACAGACATTTTTTTCACCGTGGACCTTCTGATAAAGTAGGTTAGTGCTCTGGCGCACCCTCTCTTAAAAGAGGTAGGAATTGCCTAGAGAGCTGAATGTTTTTTCTGAATACGTACACAATAAGCTCTACTCATAGTCAAAATTTCAGCTCTGTAGCATGTTCTGTTCATTAGAGTTGTATGTATGGATGGACCCAAATATTAATTTCAAGCTCCTAAAGATTATGTTTGCTGCAAGCCGTTTCTGAATGTGTCAGGCTGATTTTGCTATGAAGTTATATATCTCAGATGAGTCTTCCGACTTCTTAAGCTCAGTCCTCAAACAGCTTGGTTTCTTGAGAGAAGACCTTATGTGAAAATCATGTAAAACTGAAATTTTTAAGGGATACATATTGCTATATACTCTAGTTTTTGTAAAAGTTTCAAGCCTCTATCTCACTTCTATTACGGGTTGTCAAGTACCTAAGTTCTTCAAAATATGAATTTGTTCTCATTTTGGATGAATCATAAAAAATTGAGAGCTCTATGTTTTGCGCTGAAACTCATTTTCGTAAAACAGCCATTAAAATTGAACGGTTCAATATTTTTCGAAACGGCTTGCACCAAAATTCATAAAACTCTTCCCTCTATGAAAGTATCTTAGATTAGGCAAAATCTGAAGGTGTTGTTTGAGCAGCTTCTCAATGCATCAGTCGTGGCTAATATTGGAATGGCTCATACACACATCATGGAAGTGCTTCCGTAGTTGAAATATTAAATGAATGTATTTATGTGTGCATAACCAACATCAACTGTATTCAATTCTGCTGTTGCTATTTGTACACCATCATTAAGTTAATTGAAACAGTAATTGAATCAATTTTACTTTTTCTTTTTACGAAAAATAAATAGTTAACTTATGAAATGCTTAAAATAAAGAAATAAACTAGTTGAATTTGTTTTATATGGTCATACAAAGGAAAAAAACTAAATAATAAAATAGAATTAATTATGTATCTCCTGTCGATAGACCGGAAAGATTTATCCTTAATTGTTCATCAACAATATTTGTCACTGTTGTTGTGGTTTTGTATTCTGTTACTAAATCTGTTGATAGTACTGGTATATATCCGGAATTTTTCAAAAATGGTATAATAATTAAACACAAAACTGTACTTAATATAGTAAACATTGTAAAAAGCCAAAATAATAATCGATCCATAATAAGTGCCATTAATTTCCATTCATTAATTGTTTCATTTCGATCTTCTTCAAGTTTTTGTTTATTAATTATATATTTTAAATGTTTTTCAAGTAAATACATATTCGAATTAAATAAATTATAATGTGAACGAGAATTAGTCAAACCTGATGATGACGCCAATGTTGATGATTGATGAGATTGTTGAGGAATAAGAACTATTGGAGGTACAACACGTCGAGAACGACAATGATGATGATGATGATGATGGTGATGATGACGTTTAGTAGATAATGATGATGAACGAATGTCACCATTTCCTGTTGATAAACTCGTTAAAAATCCTTTCGTTGTTTCTTCTTCGTCATTGTAACAATCATCATTATGATTATATTCTTCGTCATCATGTTGAGATTCTTTTTGATGATTTATCTCTAAAGAGAAAGTTACAATAAATAAACATGTTTACTTTTATAGAAATATTCTCAATATGTTTTCAGAGTTTTTTTCGTCATTTAAAATGCCTATTAGAAGTCAATATTATTAAGGATTGGGTATCTGTAAAGGATACGAACATTCATATCTTTTATCAGTGAGTACGCCGACTCGACTTAGGCATATACTCAAAATATTAGATTTTTATATGCTAGTCTTAGAAAAATAGAAGGGATGGATTTTCTCAATTCAAAAACTTATAATTGAATTTAACATACAGTGCATGTGAACGAGTTCAATTGATCTCGTTGATTAAATATCGTATTAAATAGTGTAGAATGTCATATATGCTAGCATTAACCTTGTATCTGCTTGTTCTACGGAAGAACCGTACGACTCTAGATCAGAGTTGGAACCGGACAGCTTTTTTCTATTCGATCCGGTCCGGTCCGGTCGGTTGAAAAATCTGTCCGACCAGCAACCGGTCGGATGAATTGTACAGCTAAACTAGCAAAAATCCGGTGAAAATAACGGACTATAAAACTATCTATTCATATATAATGGTGGTGAAGGAGCATTGAATATTCATGTGCAGAAATCGGAATTAGGAATAATCAACTTACATTTACCAAAATTTAAATAAATCGAAAAATAAATTTAAAAAATTAAATTGATTTTCAATTTCAATTGGATTTATATACATTTAAATTTTTAAAATTTATTTAAATCTAGTTTAAACCAATATAACTTCAATTTAAATTCATTCCGTTGGATTTAAATCCAATTAAATGGGTGTACATTGAATTTAGATTGATTTAAACTAGATTTGAGTAAATTTAAAAGGCTTAAATGCATTTAAAATAAACTTCAATTTACGTAATTTACATTTAAAATAAATTTAGATTTTCATCTCTAAAAAATTTTTATTTATTTGAAATTTAACTTCGCAAAAATTTAAATTTATAATAAGTTAACAGGCGATCGCCACCCCTAATAGGAACTGGAAACTAAAACTTGGGAACGAAATTATGACCATCATATTTTAATGCAAGGTGTGTGGACTTTTTGAGCCCGATGTCTATATAAGTCAGCTACTCAGATCAAATCTGTTGTTTTTAATCTTAATTTCAAGAAAAAAGAGCCAGTTTACAATAAATCTAGTACAACAGTGTAAATATTTATTTTTCATGACTCAGGCAGCTATCTAAGTAGAATAACAAAAACAAATTATATGATCTAGGTTACATTAAGCGGTACACGAGAAAGTAATCGATAAAGATATAAAGAGAACAATGAACTGTTTACAGTTAGGTGGATGACACAAAGTTCATCGAGTCTTTCGCAGACACATTCTTCTGACGTGAAAATATCATAAAAACACCTTTGTCAGTAGAGGAAATTCTTGGACACATGCAACAATTTTTTAATGATGAACTGGCAAAAATCCGGTCCTGTCCGGCCGGTTTTAACTTTTTGTCCGGTCTTGTCTGGACAGGAGCCGGATAGCCGGACCGGTTCCAACTCTGCCCTAGACAACAATGTGAAATTAAATGTTGAGGAAAGAGATAAGAAAAGAATATAGACAGTACAGGTATTAGTACAACAGACCAAAAATTGAAAAACAGAACGAAAAGAAGCACGTCAGCTCCTAAAGAAGAAGAAGAAGAAGAAGACATGATGCTGATGAAAGCGTATATGACACTCTATACTATCAAATACGGTTATTGATAATAGAGATCGATTGGAAACATTCAAACGAGCTATTTGCTAAATTCAATTAAAGGACTTTGAATAGAGAAAATAAATCCCTTCTATTTGTTTTTGTTGAGGTTAGCATATAAAAGCCTAATACTTTGGGTATATTTATAAGTCGAGTGGGTTTATTCACTTGTAAAAAATGTGAGTGTTTGTGTTTTGAAAAAGACAGTATATATTGAGAATCACTTTCATGTTCAACTGTTTTTGATGGTCGTATCTTTTACAGATACCCTTCAAAGATAAAACTGTGTTATTGTATAATAAAATATCAAAATAAAAAAACGGATTTGAATTTTTTTAACCAGTTAATATAATATATTAAAATTGTTTAAAAGTATTATTATTTTCGTATCAGAAAGTAGAAAGAAGAAACAACTATATAGTAAATAATTGATTATATTAATGATTGAAACCTAATAAAAATACTTCGATAATATATCACGTATTTAAAAATACATTTAATATCTATATATGGTTATATCTCAATATGCACGTGCAAAGCTAATCTGTCATTTGTTGCCTTTAAATTTTTATGAATATCAATAAATTTAACAATTTATTTTATCGTTGAATAAATGATAATAATTAGAATCAATATCTCTATTTATATATGAGATAAGATTAATGTTTATGTCGCCTGTCTCTCTGTTAAATCTTGTTTTTGTTTAATATATTAATCGTATAGAAAAATACGAGAGAAAATGTCTGATAATATATGAATGATACAAATAGAAATAAGAGAATGTAAAATTCATAGAAAATATCGATATCGATAATAAATTTTGAAAAAAAAAGTATTACCTTGTTGATGTTTAGTTTTCTTTTTTTCATAATTTATTCTTTTTCTTTTATGCTTGATTAGTGGACTATCTGTTGGTTGTGTTGATACTTGAGCAAAACATCGATAAACATTATCTTTTTCAGTTAAATTATGTTCACGTGCATAAAGTTCAACAATTTTTTGCATTCCAATAATAGGTGCTATACGTCTAACTAATGAATATTTAAATGAACGTGGAACTGGAATAACAACAGGACCTGAATGATGTAATTGAAGGACATAAACAGTAAGAACAATTGATAATGATGTAAGTGCCATAACAATTGTTAAATATATTTCAATAAGTGGTACCATTTCACTTGTTGCTGGCATTGATTCAGCAATTAATAACATAAATACAGAAAAAGCTAAAAGAACAGTTATACCAAGTGTTATCTTCTCTCCCGAATCCGGTGGAAGACAAAAACCAAGAAGTGAAAGAATTGAAAGCCATATACAAGGAAATATAATATTAAATAAATAATATAGAACACGACGTCGAATATGAACTAAAAATTTATTTAATTTCAATATATAAAAAAGAAAAATTTCTTTTTCTTACCATATATAGTTACATCAGGATAATAAATTCCTGGACAACATGGATAAGTAACATCATGGCGTTTAATAGCAATATTAAGAATATGCCATTCACCCGAACGAATATAATTCGTCATATCAACATTATCACGCCGTTTGGTTAAATTGACTTGAGCTGCATCATATATCCATGAACCAAACTTTAATTTACATAATTGATCTTTAAAAATAAAATAAAAAATAATAATAATAATAAAACGATAAATTCTTGTAGAAAAAGAAAAAAAAAAGATAATAATTACCATCAAATGGAAAAAAAGTGACATCAATTTTGCATGATGATCGAAATTTAGCTGGTGGTGGCCAAAAAACATGTCCATTACTATCGACCATAGCTTTACTTTGATAATAACCTTGTGTATAATCATCAGCTGAATTATATAAAACAATATCAGGTAACCAAATTTTTGAACATGGTAATCGAAGAGTTGTTAAACCATTAAAATCCGATGCATTCCATACTAAACGTTGATCAAACCATTCCTTTATTTTACAATATTAAAAAAAAAACATATATATCTTAGATAAATTTCATTATTTTCTTTCAACTAGATCAAGCTAACCTGTTCAAGCCATATATTCGTAGTTAATACTTGATTTTTTTCATCCTAAATTAAAAATTATTTATTTCTATTAATAAATCACAAATTTGTTAAAAATTTTCTTTTTGAAAATTTATCAAATAGATCAATATAAATGGACAAATTGTCTGGTTTTTTATAATCAAGTTAATACATTGGGTATTTATTATTGATATAGAACTAAAAAAAAATAGACGTGCAGACGACTAATTTGATTACTGAAACGGAAATCAATGTTTTCTCTCTTATATATATTGACATATGTACCTGTGCACCAAAAGACTTTGTGTTTAAAATAGACATAAAATTAACTTTTAAAATGTTACTGTTTGTATTTTGAACCTTTTTATTCTATGTATTTAAGTAATAATATAAGAAAAATCTTGTTGATTTATGTTTTATTTTTATTTCTATGTATATATTTATAAAATAGGCATTAAAAGAAATAATTTTTTTTTTAACATAATAATTTTAAAAAACTAAGTGAAATATTCAGAAAATTATTTCAAATTAATTTTTGCATGAATACACACTTGTGTGTGTGTGTGTGTGTACATAATGCTTAAAGAAAACAAAGTTTTTATAAATTTATCAATGTCAGATTGTCCTTCTATGTCAATCAAAGAAGAAAAAAATAAGAATATTGCCTTCTATTAAATAATGGCTACAATATTATTGTTGCGCATCAATGCATTATTTCTCGTTCAAATATTTGCATAATATTTGAAAAGATTCGTCTAGTTCCGAATCATTGATCTATCAATCATTATCTATGTGATCACATACCATATCACTTAGTTGAGTCAAAGCAATACCAAAAGCAACACTGACGGTATCCGATGCATTATATACAGGTCGTGCAGATGGATCATAATTTCTTAATAATTGAGCCATTAAACGTTGTTCATCAGGTATTGAATCGGAATCGTTGAAAGCTAAGTGATAATATGGATGATAATAATAATTTGACATAGATTGAGAATATTGTTGACTCGGAGGAGATGAAGGAACAGAACTATCTTTATTTGGCATTGTCAAACTAGTAAATATTAGTTGACAATCTAACTCACATGAATTTATTAAGAAAAAAAATAAGATGAGTGGAATCACCATATTGTCTATGAAAAAGAATATTTTAATATTCACTAGTCATTCATTTATATATACTACTGATACTATCAATGTAAAGAGAAGTAAATACTATGACACTTTGCCCAAGTAGAAGAAAAGAACTAAAAAGAAACGAGACTATAACGATAGAGAAAAAGAGCAAAGGAATCGTCGACAAGATATATGCTATTATTATTATTTCTATTTGTTTAAACATAATGTAAGAAAGAAAAAAAAAAAAGCATTGCTGAATATATTAATAAGAACTGATGGTTAATCGCTCTCATGAACAACATGAAGAAACAAAGAATTATGTCATTGAATAAATGAATGATAGAAAGAATAATTAATTGAACATAACATTTATTTGATAATCATCATTAAAGAAATTAATCAAACAAAATGAAAAAAAAAAAAAAGAATTTATCTTTCTTTAGTTTTTCGAACTCTAGTTTCTTTCTAATTTTAGAATAAAGATTATTATTTATCGTTTACCGAAAACTCAAATTTTTCTTAATAAAATTAATTTTAAATATTTATAAATTTATTCAATTATTTTTCATAATTAAGATTCATTTACGTACGATAATCATACAATGGATCTAAATCTGATGGAAACCATGAATTACTCCAATGCATTGAATTTTGTAGTTGATTACCACTAGAAAAACCATATCCACCAGAAGGTCCAGAATTACGTGTACGTTGTGACGAATAATGACCACCACTTGATTTACATTCGGCTTTATTAAAAAGCACAAGAAATATTCTTATCAAAATAAAGCCAATTGATGACAATTGTCGTACCATAATTTTGGATTGATCAACATTTCCATACGTAAAAATTAAGAGACAAAATAAAGAGAGACGTAGAGAGAGAGAAATAGAAAAACAAGAAAAAAAAAGGTATATCTGAAATAAAAAAAGGCAAAGAGCGATAGAAAGTCATGCTTAAAGCTATATTATGTGTCGTGCTGAGCCATTTTAATTCGAATGTGTAGGTGTTATATCACATCATCAAATTGAAGTTGATATAAAGTGAAACATGCAACATACATCCTTTATTAGATTGCTCGATGTCGTCTCGAAATTATCAAAGTTTCTTTTAAATTCTTCTACGACTAGATGTTAATCGAAACTACTACTACTACTACTACTATTAGTCGTAGTAGTAGTTAATGAATAAGTATATGCTTGTCGATGATCATCGCCTGTTGCGTTAGACTACACAAGTGACGAAGATGCGGAATAAAATAAATGAAAATGAAATTATGTGGAAGACTTTCTTTCTGTCTTTCTCTATCTCTTATATGTTCCTATTGAACATCGAACTTGATCATAATCCGTTAAATAGCCTGAAGACAAAATGTTCTCCAATAGAGTTTATTTGTAAAATGGTTTCTGTTGCGTTCAATATAAATAATTTTATCAAACAAGATTTATATTTACCAGAAAATGGTTTGATCTCCTTTGCTTTTTTAAAACGTGTGTAAATAAAAATATTCAACTAAATAATAAATTAGAAAATGATTAATTCGAATAATTCAAATGTCAAATAAAGAACAATAAAATTGATGTAGGAATAAATAGAATGGAAGCTATGGTGTTGTCGCCTTTCATTTTCATCGTTTTTCCTGATCTATGTACAATTAATGATGTCATCTCAATTGACAATGATAGACAGTAGCAAAATACTAACAAATACGATTTATTAAAAAGAAAGAAAAAACCAAGTATCTTCTACTCAAACTGGGAGATAAAACTAAAATAAATTTTTCATTTTTATTCTCTAAAGTAAACAGAAAGGATTCGACTTAAGAAATTTTTCATGTATTTAACCGATGCTGCTAGTAAATGATGACATTTGCATGAAAGAATAAAATGATTTATTTCAGATTGTTTAAATAAAAACGATTTATTTCAAAAATTTCTCAAAGAAATAAAAACAAAGATATTTTTTCTTAACAAAAAATGATATTAGCTAAGATTGTTACTTTTTCCTTAATAATACATTTTCATTAAATGATTTCTAAACATGTTCCTACGATTATTTCATAGATTTCGAGTATCATTTTTATTTACATGTAAACAGAAATGCAATGGTTTATATATGCTTTCTATATATCTTTCTCAACATATGTTTATAATTATAAGACAAAAAAAGTTATTGAAGATCTCCCTTGCGGATTTATAGCTAGATGTTTTTTGTTTAGAAGAGATACATAATATTTGCAAGTATAAATATTATCTAGGAAAAAAAAACATTTATCTGATGAAACCTTATATCTGAACTACATAATCTCTAATAATTATAATACAATTTGATTTATATTCTTGAATTTTTTGAATTATTATTACATTAAATCTCAAGTATAATTAGGTTTAATTGACTTTGTTATAATAGAAGTTCTTTCAATTTTTTATCTTAGCCTTTGATGTCAATTTTTCTAAAGAATATTGACTTCTCAAATAGAAAATAACCGATATATTTTCGTATTGAGAATAGAAAAGTTTTCGCATCAGTAAATATTAAATGTTCTTTATTGATCATATGATTAGAAATTCAAGAAAATATTATGCAATTTTTATTATTTCTATTGGTATTTGAATTGATATTAATGTCAATCAAAATCAAAAACAGAAGAATTTTCTCCCAAGACAAAATTTATCTTTTCTATTGTCATCTATGGAATACTTATTAGGAATAAAATCATACGAACTGGATAATGTGAAAAAAAATGCAGTTTTACTTATTGATCTCAAGTTGCTTTGTAAATGAGTCGTTAACTATTGGTGCTCATGAAAAATATTATATTTTCATATTTCAATGACGAACTCAAGTATTTTTAACCAATTAATAAACTTAATATTGATTTATATTTGTGATAGATCAAACTTGATATCCATGTGAATTTCAGTGTTTTATTTAACTATTCCATATTTTTTATAAAATAATCATCGTCATTCTTTTCGTCATGGTAACTCTTCAGAACAATTATCTGACAAGTCTTTTACAATTTAATTATCAACAATAATTATAATTGATTGACTTTTATATGAGATAGAGCAGTTATCTGTTTGACAATATTCAATGTTTTCTTTTGCCATCAGTTGATTTCATTGATAAATCTATTTAATTTTTGGTTAGATTTATGTAAATAGGATATACGGATCACTTATAATATCAGATAAAACTTTTTCATTGATAATAAATTCGTTGAAACATATATCATTCAATTGATGACAATGTTCATGAAAAAGTGTCGAATGAAATCTATGGATACATTCATAAAATTGAATTACATCAATTTTTTTTAAAATGAAAGTATTTTTATGATATCAATTTAGCCGTTTGATATAAAACTATGTAGTTAATTGTACCTTTTGTAACTTTGAATTTCAACAAAAGAATTAATATTAATGTATTATTAAAATAGAATTAATAAAAAATCAAGGCATATCTGTTTTTTCGATTAAATGATATATCAACAATTCATGAAAAACATGTCACCTTTTTTTTTACACAGTCTTAGACACTATCAAACATTCTTTCTCAGCATGTCATCAATATGGTATAATTGATCACGCATATTTCATTATTCGTTACCTAATTAACGAATTGCTAAGTACTCAAAATCAACGACAATAAATTATGTGGATCTTTTATTCTACGTTCTAATATCATTAAATATGATACATATTTCAATGTTTTGTTTTTAACAATTAGAATAAAAGCGTGTTTGTTCTTTTGAATTAATGTTTATGAAATAATCTTGACATAAAAGTAAATAAACTTAAATTTTGAACACCTTGACGATATCGAATATAATTAGTAATTCATTTCATCTGTTACATGCTATGTGAAACAGCATAGAAACATATGAAACTCATATATAGCTCAATACTCTGGATAAACTAATCAGGTATGAATGTAATAAGAACCAGAACAATGAACACGAAAGCTTTAACAGAGATACCTTAAGCACGGGAAAACTTCAGTACGGAAAGGTTCAGCATCGAAAAATTAATCACACAAAAAAAATGAATATAAATATAATTTCTATTGAAAAACTAATGAATGCATATGAATGTTTGGTAAGGATTTTAGTCTTCTCTTCATTCCAGTTCATGTTCTTCTAATGTTTTATTTAGATTCTCTCTACTGTACGAACGATTTAAAACTCCAAGAGGGCACACATCTTTTTAGGAGCACAGACATATAGTACGTCATACAATAACTACAAACTCCTGAAGTGCGAATCGGATCTTTGAAGGGGTGCCGCCCTCTCAATTCTCAAGTTGAATAAAGTACTGCATCTTTCACCTTCGTTTTTTTTTTTGAGTGCTTAACTTTTTGTTGGAGAACATTCTTGTGCTTATAGTTTTCGTGCTTCTCGTTCACCAATCAGAATGCAATTATATTAATACTATAAAAACTCTATTTACAAACATTAATGTTTAATGAAACGTATGGTTTCATATTGCATTAGACTTTCCTTTTTTTTTTGTTATGTTTAAAATCCTTTACTATGATTTCTAATCTTATTCGTGCGAGTGCAATCAAAATAAAACTTAAGTATATTACTATGTTGTATAGTTTCAGGTTCTAAACAAAAAAAAGGAAACATGTGATTGAGTGTGTTGTCGAAACAAAATTTTGATAAGCATATTAGAATACATTTTTTTGCTGTAAAACAATGGAATCTTTTATTATTTTTTAAAGAAAAATGAAAAACAAAGTACATCACTTTCATCAATGAATAATATATCGAGGTTAGATGAATAAAATATAAGCTTATTTTATTCGATTCACAATCATTCAAAGATTCAAGTCAATAGCATTATTAAATCACAGCTTTTTTTTTACCTAAATTGTCGAGTATACCACATAAATTTCTCGTCAAACATATTAAAGAATTTTTTATTTAGTATTTACTCCTCACAACATCTACAGAAGAGCCACTGATAAAATAATCTTATAAACGAAGTATAGACTCTCTAATATGTTAATTTTGTAGTCAGATCCATTTGATGTTCTGCAATTTTTTTTCTTTCATAACACTATTGAATTGGCAAAAGCAGCTTATGTCGTATGCTATTAAAGAAATAAAAAAAAAAAGAAATAGATGAATACATACTAACTAATTATAAAACATTGCAAGCATTTTTCATACATATTATCGAGCGATTAGGTTTTGTTTTTGAGAAAATATATTAATCACTGAAGATATTTTATCCAAATCAAATATGATTTTAACTTGAGACTTGATGAGGTTTACAATACATACAGAAATTCTATTTTTTATTTTTCTCTGTTTCTCAAATAGTAATAACATAGTGTAGGTCTCTTCATCAATCAATATCATACAACAAATTTTAAAACCTCTACTTCCTGATAGTAAAAAATATTTTGTTTAAAAAATTTCAATTATTTTTTATTTTTCAACATTAACAATTTTCTAAGTTCAACATTTTTGAGACGTACCGATGAAACAAAACGTTCATTTTTACCAATCAACAACTCATGAAGTTTACTATAAAACTTATTTCTGACACTTTGGGATTCTATATATATTGTTTAGTTTTTGTAATCGATCAACAAATGATCACTCCAGTAAGTAGTGAGGGGTAAAGAATTAACAAAAATCAAAACGAATTTCAAATAGTACGAAAAATTTATCAAAGATAAGATAAAAGCCTTATTATTCTAATATTTTTAGAGATTTCAATGATTTATCTTATTTTGAATACACAAAAAAATGTTTATAATCTCAAACTATTTATGTAAAATAATTCTCAAAAGAAAAATA